TGTACAATAAAAAATAAGTTTTTTTTATTTTTTATTTTATTTTATTCAGATGTTATGTAATTTAAATTTAAAGTTTTTATATTAAAAAATTATTATTAAATTATTTATATAATTGACATGTATATTCTTAAAATAGATATTTCATTTTGTTAACATAGATATTTCATTTTGTTAACATAGATATTTCATTTTGTTAATGCACCTGGATTTGTGGAAAATACTTATTTTTAGTCTTTTACATTAATAAATTTGTAGATTTTAATATTTTTCTTTATATTATGACACTTTTAGTCTCTCATTTATACTAATTGAAAAAAATAGTCTTATTTAATGTCATGTTAGTTGATTGTTAGTATTCCATTATAAAAAATATGAAATTTAAATTTAATAGTATTTGTTAGTTTCGTTAACAGAATGTTAACAGTCAGTTAATAAAGTTAATAGTAATCTAACAGAATTAACATTCAACTAATAGAATTAATAATCAACAAATAGAATTAATAAAATGTTATAATTTGATGTTAAATAAAAGTTATTTTTTTCTATTTGTATAAGTGAGGAACTAAAAATATCATAATATAAGGTAAAGGATTAAAATTTATAAATTTATTAAAGTAAAAAAATTAAAAATTGGTTTTTGCCCGGATTTGTTGGATCTTTTTTTTTTTTTCGGTAGTAGTTTATCTGAATTTTCTTACTTCAATTTGTTGGATCATTTGAAGTCCTGTATTTTGCGTCTCTATTTGCTTTCATGGCTACTGGTGCGACGCATGGTGTGGACGGATTGGATCAACATTTGCTTTTATGACCATTCAGAATGACGGTTGTGCCCTTCTATATTTGTATGAGAAGGAACTCAAGTCCGATGGGTAATTTTGGTGATTAAATAAAAGAATTATTTTAACTTGTGAATAAATGAAAGATGTAATTATTATATAATTTTATTATTAATTTATATAAAAATAAAAATTTATTTAAAATTTATTAATTATGAAATTAAATTATTTTAAATAATATTATTATTAAAAATAAAATTTATTATTATAATTTTTTATATAAATTAATAATAATAAATACAATAAATATATCAAACACAAGCATAAGGTTGGAACCTCCTTCAATTAAAAATAAAATATTACTTGTAGT